CCCCCGCTGCACACCCCCCAAAAGGCTTGGTTGCAGCAATCCTGGAAGTGGCACATGCGAAGGGCATGTCACGTCAGAAAGACAGACGTGGCGAAAATCAGGATGGCAAAAGCAGGCAGCAGGCAGGCGCCGGGCTGGCAACAGTCCACAGCTTGAGAGCCCTCTGCCACACGTAGTTGAAGCCAACCTTACCCAAAACAAGCCATGCTGCCTTGGGGCTAAACACTGCCTGCCTGCACACAGAATCAACCTAGAATCCGACCTCAGGTCAGGATTGTAGGTCGCTGAAACACGAAAGCACCGGCTCTTCAAGAGCCATCCAACGAAACCGCGGCTTGCCAAGTGGGCCTCGACTTGTGTTCAGGCCTTGGCCTTGGCGCCAACTTGGCGCCAACTTGGCGCTTGGCGCGTCTAAACCTGCGGCTGTGTTCTCAAAACAGCGTCCGGATCGCCTGCATTCACGGAGTCCCTCTCTTTCTCGCCCCTGCCCCGGGTGGTGGCTTGGATGTGCCTCGCGCGGCGATGGATGCGCCAAAGCAGGTTCAGCCTTCGGAGTGGCCTCGAGTTGGAACCCCATATAAGTCTCCTAATTGAGCAAAACAAGGTGGCTTGAAATGCTTGCTGAGATGATAATTAGCATGAACTATGCGGTTCTATTCTGTTGGCACTGAAGCTGCCTGCTGACCAACTTGACACATATGCCTCACTATGGCTTTAGCATTGCGAAGCTGAGACTTGCTTGCCTGAGACTCAAGTTGAACTTGTGGATGCTTTTCAGATCAAAGATCCACTTTTCCCGCGACAGGCCCAAACTATGGGTGACCTTGGGCCAGACAAAGGGGCCTTCATGGCAGGCTTTTTGGCGACTGACAGTCCCTTGGTGCCGGCTTCTGACAAAATCCAGGATGCCTGAAGGCTACAGCTGGGTGTTGAATAGGTCTGCAAAAACCAAAGCCTATCCTCGATGTTGTCCGGAGTGTTTTGGCACCCATCGGAGGTGAAATCTTCGCACGCATTGGTCATTCACCACGGCAACACAGGCCCAGCGCCTAAAGCTGGAATGCTCGAAGATGTCTTGGACGCTCAGGGTGCCGCGAACCCCCATCCCGGCTACGTCCGTTTTGGTCGGACGCAGCCGGTTGATGATCTCTTCGAAAAGAACTTCCACCTAGGCTCGCTCACAAAAGGCGCTGAACGGGATTCCGTTGTGGATCAAGGAAGCCCAACAAAATCATCACGCCATTGTCAAGGACCATTTACTGGTGACCAGAAAGAACAAAAAGGCCGAAGCTTTCGGCGGACACCAACCATATTTGCACAGGCAAAATGCCCCTGCAGCCAAAGGACACCAAACGCTTCAATTGTTGTTTCGGATTTGACAACTGAGGAGAACAGCATACCCTCGACTTGTTGGCTTAACTTTTGACTTTGAGATAATGGGCATATTGTTTCAGGTCTAAAAAGCAAAACACAAATGGCACAGCCTTGCTCACTGTTGGCTGTGCTTTCGCTGGCCCGCCTTAGTTTCCAGCCGCCAAATGTCCAGCGCCTTTGCGCTGCCACGCAAGCGGCCGGCTCCTTCAATGAACTCGCTCAAGGTAATCTGGCCGTCGCCTGCGATTTTTCTGCGAGGAAAACTCTAGCTTTGCCATGGGCAAACCAATCGCCAACTTTAGCGGCAACCTGATTTATCGCTCAGAATCTCTCAAAGACTGTGGAACTTCGGACCTGCCTTTCGGGCAGGTGAAGGAAAGCACTCTGACCAACCCCGGTACCCATCTTCCAGCTTTCCATTTGAGTCTCAAATCTGGGAATAGCTTTCAACAGCCTGGGAGACAAGTAACATATGGATCATATGGATGGACAAATGACCGAATTTTGGAAGACATAATCTGATGGGACAGGTATGCGCACAAGCCAACGGAGCGAGCTTAGGGTGCGTCGGTGGCGGGTTGGAGTTGGCTTCGTTGCTTAGCATTGGTTGCGGCCGGGCGCTTCAGGGTGGAGTTAAGGATGGGTTCAATTCAAAAAGCTTTGGACTCCGTTCTGGCCTTGGTCAACGCCTGCACCCTTGCTCCACTCCACATTGACATGGAACCAAAAAAAAGGGCCTCCAAAATCGGACTTTCCTCCAGAATTGTTTGTTTTGGGTTTCCATATTCATCTGCTGTGCCGTACATTGACTGCATGCAGGCAACTGCATCTCTTGGCAAATCCAAAGGAGACGCTTCCTCCCGCATGGCGGAGCCGTCTCTTCTTTCGCTGCATGTCGTCCCATTGTCGGCCCACTCCCTACATGTGACCAGCGTCCTTTTCGGATCCCAACGTTGGTGACTTGGATCTCCCTAACCAATCGTCAACGAAGCTGGAGTTGCTGCCAATTTGCTGGTCAAATGCACAAACCAAAACAACACCCCTCGGTCGGGACCCAAAAGGACCCAGAGGGGCGACTGCTTCACTTCTTTGCTCAAGAAACCAGCCAAGTTTAACTCAACGAATGTGAAACCAATACTCAGGCAATACCAAACCCATTACGTGTTGAAACCCCCAATGGTCATGTGCAGGTGTTTCGCTTGGGGCCCGGGCCATTGTCAAGGAACTCAAACAAGCTGAGCAGGTCATGGTACTCAAGCTCCAGCTGGCTCATCCAAAACTTCAGCTTTGGTGACTGCACCAACTTCGCGAACCTGGGCAGTCAAAGATGTTTTCCACTGCCAAAAACTGTACCACATAGGGTTTATACCCTTTATTGTGGATAACTAGTTGATACATTGTGGCTGCATGTCCCATAGAACCCCTTGCGGGGGTGGGCAGTGGAAGCCCTCGTGATGGTTCTGCCTGCGGATTTCTACAGGTTGCTTTTGCTCGAGCTGCATCCTCCCGAAAACGCCGCGCGAAACGAAAAGCCAGCCACGCATGGTCCAGTTTCAACAACTACGCCTCTTCAGAGGCACAACCGGGGGAGTTTTCGCCCTCACAATGGCCACAACTCAAAAGGCTCCAGGCCGGCCATAGCCACAAAGGACCGGGGGCCTGGGCTTTTTGTTATATATATATATATATGCTTCCTGGCACCCCTTATGGCTGTTTTTTTCGGTCAAACTCCCATATTTGGCCGTGTTTGCGGGTATGTGAAACCCATGTTTTTGTTGGACATGTTGTTGAACAATTTCCGTAAAAAACCGTATGGCCATTTTGTTCGGTCAAAAAAGCTTATGACCTAAAACAACAGCCATATGGGGTCCCAGGTTCTTTTCACCCAGCTTTCCGGTCTGCACTACCGTCCGCGACGCCAAAGGAAGGAGCCAATCTCACTTGAGTTCACAGGCAACGCCCTGCCGCAAAGAAATCAGCAAGACTGGAATCAGGGCAATGGCTACCGCAAAGAAGACTTCTAGTTGAATGGGGTACACACAAAACAATATGTTCGGTTAAGTTTGTATATCATATTTGATCACCCTTGACCGACAGCTTGGGCGGACGGGGCTGGCCGCAGCCTTCCGAGCCTGTTTGTGTTTTGTTTCAAGGGTCCAGCCCCCTCTTACCATTCCCACTCCAAACCTCCGACACATGCCAACAGTATGCCAAGAAGCTCCTCCAGGTTGATGGCACCATCGCCCGAGGCGTCCATTGTCGAAAACAACTTCTTCACCTGGCTCGACGGCCAACCCCAAGAAAGGCAATGATTGTTCAATGTGCTCGGTGAATCAAGAGCTCGTCTAGCCCTTTATAAGACTTCTTCTTTCCATTGCAGCGATTATATCTAAACGACTGCAAACCTGTTCGGTAATCTCTTGCTTACAAGTCTGTTAACTTGTGGTAAAATCATTGCTGACTTGAGGAGGGGGTGGATGAAAGCTAGCAACTGTTGTATGAGACGGGTCCATGCGCCGTAAAGATCCCCAAAAGGCTACACGCAAACTGACCTCGAAAATGAACATAACGAGAGGTGTCGCAAGCCCTTAAAGCACCCATGGGTTCTGCATGTTCATGAGGCTTGCGCACGGCTTCAAGGGGGGGGTCTAAATCATTGATTCTTGCAATCTTTTTGGCTCAACTAATTGATCAACTCAAGCTTTCAACATTTCAGCCCCTTACCTAGCTTACGCAAGGAGAAACTTCAGCTAGTTAAGGTTAGCTTTCGTAATATGCTTTGCAAGTTCAACCTGTTGTGGGTGTTGACTATACTAGTGATGATGTCTAGCAACATGTCAAAATTGACACAGGTCAGAGCGAGGCATTTGGCATCATTTGGCCATGACAATAAATACTAACCACGCCTCGCACAATAAAGACTGATTCGGCTGTCTTGAATGCAGTGCTAGCGCTCCGTGCTTTTCCAACAAGATGTCTGCTTGAAGGATGATGTGAAGGTTGCGCAATTGGGCGCAGCTCAACGCCGTCACAAGCTTTGGTCGGGGAAACGGGCGTGGCCTCCGAAAGCAATGCATATTCGAATAAGAACGGGCGCCCTCTTCCATTGACTTGGTAAACAACTAAAATTAACACCCCCCATACCCCCCCTTGCCCAAATGCATCTTGTCAGGGGTGGGTTTGGCTCGGCAAAAGGCATCCCGAGCATGCCTTGGAGACCGGACGTGAACCGCTGGCCCTGGAACTAGATTTGCTCGAGTGAAGGTGTCCCGCTCAAATCACTGCGAACGCCTAAACACATTCAGGTGTGCCCCAGCTTCCGTCACCACGCCTTTCGAATGTACACCGCGGCATCCTTCTGCTTCCTTGGTGCAAAGCGGACTCCGCTCTCTCCAAGGGCATTGGCAGTTTTGCGCATTTCGCCCAGCATCTCCTGTCCAAAGGATGACCGTGAAAGCTCAAGGAGAAAATAGAGGGGAACCCCGTGCAGTGAGGAAGCTTTTTTGGTACTGTCGCCCAGGCAGCATTGAACTACAAGAGATGCAGGGCCCATATAGAGCTTTTGCTCCAAGGTGAATCGTGCTTTCTTGTTTCTAAACGAACTAGTTTTGTTTAAATATTCATGACCAGGGAATAATCGGAAAGGGGGCATGGCTTATGCAAAGAAAAGCTGGGGCCGCCTGGTGGTGATGACCTGGTGCTGTCGCCGTTGCTTCAGTGTCTTTGCTCTCGTCTGAGAAAAGCTCTTCGGACCGGTGACCTGCAATGCTCAGCAGGCGTCTGCTGCCGAGTGCTCAAACCTAGGCAAACAAGTCGTGTAAGCTTGGAAGTGTATTGTCGCTGCCCGTTCCGCAGAGCTCATAGGCTCGGGTTGCAGCCAAAGCAGCTGCTTGAAGGCCAAGTCCTCGTCGGAGCTGGCAGTTTTCATCGTCTGCCTTGCTCCGGTCGGAAATACAGCTGCAGCCACATGAGTGACATGCCACGAGCAAAACCCATTTTTTTGGGGGGGACGGAATGGCCGCTGGTTGGCCATTTGTAATAATGACGATGGCAATTGGAAATACTCTGCTTGAGAATTGGCCAGCCACTTACCGTGAGGTCGTCGGATTGAAACCAAATAAACGCCTGCCTGCATCCACCTGTTCCTTGCCTATGTGTGAACTGCCAGCAAAGTTTGAAGCCCCATCATGCCATTGCAGCCATTGAGAGTGGTGTGAGTCTTTCTCGTACAGGGTTGCAAAGCAGAGGTGACAGGGCAAAAGCAAAAGTACGTTTTACACACACACTTTGACCTGTGTTAAACCGGGCAAGAAGGTGTGTTGTCACTGCAGTGGAGTGAAATTTGCCAGAGGCAAGGTCAACCAGAAGTTGGCAAGGCCTTATAGGTCTAGGAGACGGTGTAGGAAGCTATGTCATGTTTGTGTGACAAAACAACTTGGCACAAAAGAGAGCACAAAAAGGATCACCTAACCTAGGCCCCCCCCTCCCCAATGACCTTTCTCAGAGTCTTTCTTGGGGATGATTTCTCCGATTGCCCGGATTCATTCCGCCCAAGCTTCTGCACGAAGACCGCATTGACCACCTGGGCGACATGATGCGCAAAGCCTTTCGAAAGTGCAGAGCGACACTACGCGGTTACCTGTGAAACTCGAAAACAAAACACCGCGCTTGAATGGTGCCAAGGTTGTTCAGTTCAAACCAATTTCAGCAACCCGCACTCAAGTTGGCCGACCGCCACAGCAAAGAAACATTTTAGCTTGGTGCTACTATGCTGCGACCAGCTGCGTGACAAATGGTGCAAACCACTGCTCAAATCCCAAATGGTCTGCGAGATAACTCCAGGTACGCTCGGCATGACCATGCGCCACTTCCCGCCTGGCAGCAGGAAAGGCGATTGTTCCTCAAATCTGACTCCTTCTAGACTGGCCCACCCTAGATCCAAGCTTGTGGGCAGCATGACCGCTGACTAGTCGGCCAACCGGAAAACACGACATGGCCGGCTTCAGTGCCAATCCGAGAGGCATTAAGCACGGCAAAACCCAGGACACAGCGGTACAGCAGGAAGAAGACTGAGAACCTTGGCCAAGGGCTGAACCAAAGGTTTGGCGAAGGAATTTCGCAAGACTGGCCCCAAATATGATCAACCTGGACGAAAGATCAAGAGCTGGACTTTGGCCGGGTCCATTTCGGGGGGGGGGGGGGTAGAAAAGGACGCAATGTGAATCAGTGAGCAACGGAATTGCGGCCAGCACCGAAATGAAAGTCCATAAATGGCAAGGCATAAATTAACGTTCAACATGCAGGCTCTATCTGTTTCTCTCTCTCTCTCTCTCTCACTCTCTCTCTCTCTGCCGTTGCATGAAGAAGGTCCCCAGACTGATCCAATCTGGATAAATCTGTTAAGCGCATTGGTTTTCCAGAATGCGATGCTCAGAACTCCGCTACACCGCCTGTGGTTGTGCTGTTGGAGGGAACAACTTTGGAAGTTGGCTTAAAGGGAAACCAAAAGGAAACAATGACCCTTCAAATAAGTCCAAACATGGGAAGGTGTCCTGAATTTGTTGTGACAAATCTCCTGTTCATCGCCGGCTCATGAGGCAGTATCAATAACGTTTCATGTTGAATTGAAGGAACGCTTGCTTGACCACGGCTTTATTTTTTGGATGCCTTGCTTGTCAGAGGGGCAGCAAGGTAAGCTGGCACACCGTTAAGATATCAAGCCCTTGAAAACACAGATTGGTCAGAGGAATGTGGGCGGGTCCAATCGCAAAAGTCAAAGCAACTACTCCCTCGAACGGCCACCATTACTTTCGGAACATGCACCCTGTGAGAACTCAGATCTGTGTCATATGTTTCTCCATGCGGTCTGGCCTCCTGTGCTCGCAGTCAACAAACATTAAGGCCCCTTCACACTCTCAAAAGGTGCTTTCTTGCCACTGAAGGATTGGCTTGTTGCTTTCCATGGATGCTTTGTTGCCATTACACAGGCGCCAAGTCTTGACCCCACACACAAGTCCGCCGGCGAAGGTTCACGCTCAACCAAAACACCCGGCAAGGCAGGCTAAACCTGCTGGGAAAACGAGACACGCTTGGACATGCTAAAGCATTCTGAAGCATTCACAGAACAGCGACTTGAAATTTTCAAAGTAATGAACCCCGTTCGTTGTTCAACAGCTTGGTGGCCACAGGAAGAAACAAATAGAAAACACAGTATCTGCAGCAACAAGAATCTGAAAAGGACACCAAGAGCGCACTGCCGGCTGATTTAGCACCAGGGGCCACTCGCTGATGGCCTCCACGACAGCTCGGCAAGGTGGGGCCCAGTTTGCAAAAAGTATCTCAAACATGGAGAGGAAGGTCCGCGTGAAGGTGCCGTAGTACTTGAAGACCTCCGCACGCTGTGCAGCCAAGACTTTGCAAGAGAAAGGGAAGAAGACAAGGTATAGGTAGCGCACGCCTGTTTGTTCACCTCAGCGTGTAAGCCCAAGTGCTCCGTTGAGCAGCAGGCCCCGCGTGACCAAAGCCCCACAGCTTACATCACGTAGAAAAGCTCGCTTGAAAGTGGCGGCGAGGACGCGCAGCTTGGCGAGTTCAGGCTTTATCTTAGCCACTTTAGACAGCGATCGTCAGAAAAGCGCACGTCGGTCTTCGCGACCACGCGTAGAAGAGTGCCAGTCTGTTTTTATGCAATAGACAAGCTGTCCATGTCGCAGACAGCCCAGAGCAAAGCAATGGACAGTGGGCCGCAGGCTTCTTAGCAGAATGATGTACTCTCACTCACTCGCGCTACTCCAAGCGAAGTGAGAAAAAACCTCCCAGCGAACCCTGTCTCGCAAGGCTACCCTCTGTGAAAGGATATAAGCTGTTCCCAGGCAATGCAAATAGCACCTTGTGACGGGTCTGAATTCCCTCTTCGAGCCGGACAACTCCAGAAGTGCTTCTTCCCGATCTATTTGCCAATCGGATTTTCTACCCGTCTATCTTGCTATCCTTTGTTTCTATCTAGTTGCCTAATTTCGCTTCGACTTTTCTATCTAGCTTATGTGTCATACAGCTCCCGCAAAACTGCGTCGCAAAGGAAAAGCGCAGCGCAGCGCAGTCGTTCAAATCCATCGCGCACAGCTCCGCCCGATTGCACCAATCAGAAACTGGATGGGCTGTTTCGCTTGGGTTTGGTTGGTTGGTTTGGTTTGGTTGGTTGGTTGGCTGGTTGGTTTCTTGGTTGATTTGATTGGTTGAGTGATTGCCTGGGTTGATTGTTTGGGTTTGTTTGGATTGGATGGGTTGGTTGGTTGGTTGCATGGCTTGCCTAACTAAGATACAGGACAAGACAAAGTAGGATACCAGAATTTGGTGCTACCCCATGGTGCAGGCCCCTAAATTCCATCTACCGCATGAAAGAGGCGTTGACCCTCTCAGGCCTTTGGCTTGTGTGCTGCTTGGGCTGGCGCAGTGCTTGCATTTATAGTTCATGCTTCGTAGTCTTGAGAATCACATGGAGTCACATGTTTTGACAACCATTAGTCTGGCTTGTGAGTTTGCTTTGCAGTTGGTGCCTCCTCATGGGGGCCTTCAGCAATGCAGGAAGTGCAGGAACACAGGGTGATCAAACAAAACAAGTTCATAGAAACCACTGAAAACTACCCAATGCAGTGCAAAGTGCAAGCTTGCTTCCAGGTTCCTGGCCTCCAGGGCCTTGGCATTTGTCACAAATGTTGGGAGGGATGGTGCCTTGGTCCCTGGAATTTCTGTTTGGCACTGAAGCCAGACTAATGGTTGTCAAAACATGTGACTCCATGTGATTCTCAAGACTACGAAGCATGAACTATAAATGCAAGCACTGCGCCAGCCCAAGCAGCACACAAGCCAAAGGCCTGAAAAGGTCAAAACACCTTTTTAATGCGGTTGGAACTTAGGTTCCGGCCTGCCCCCCCCCTCCGTCCACCAAGAAGAAACCAACTGCCTTTAACCCAGGTGCCTGGGCAGAATTGGTAAGTTCTGAGGCCTGCACATTAACCACAATGTACAGGGGCAACACCAAATTCTGGTATCCTACTTTGTCTTGTCCTGTATCTTAGATAGGCTGCCTTGGCTGAAAAAAACAAGTTGATTGATTGGTTGGTTGATTGATTGATTGCTGGGTTGATTGATTGGGTTGGCTGGTAGCTTAGACTGTTTGGCTTGTTTGATGGGTTGATTGGCTTGCTGACTGAGTACTGGACTGGATGGATTGGTTGGATTGCAATGGTGGATGGAAGGATGGGTGGTTGGATTGTTGATTGCTCGCTTGCTTGCTTGCTTAGCTGATTGATTGGTTGACTGTTTGGTTGCTTAGTTGATTGACGGTGACTGGCTGACTGGCTGGCTGGCTGACTTTATTGAATGGTTGGTCAATTTATCGGATGGCTGGCTGGCTGGCTGGCTGGCTGGCTGGCTGATTGGTTGGTTGGTTGGTTGGTTGGTTGGTTGGTTGATTGACTAACTGACGGCATGATTGATCAACCGATTTGATCGGTTGGTTGGTTTGATTGGTTGATTGCTTGGATAGTTGGGTGACGAACCGATTGGTTGGTTGACTGATTTGATTTGGTTTGGTTTGATTTGGCTTGATTGGTTGATTGACTGCCTGGGGTTGATTGGGTTTGCTTTGGTGGGTGGTTGATTGATTTGGTTGGTTGCCTTAACTTTTGAAAGACGTTTAATTTGAGTTGAGTTGAGTTGGATTGAATGGTTGGTCGATCGATCGATTGATTGACTGATTGAGTGATTGGAGGACTGATTGATTGCTTGGTTGATTGCATTGACTGGTTGATTGACTGCTGGGTGGACTGACTTGGTTTGATTTTGACTTTGCTTGGTTGATTTGACTTGGTTGATTTGACTTGGTTGAGTTGGGCTGTTTTTGACTTGATTGGTTGGCTGAGAGACTGATTGGCGCATTTTAGCTAACTCATTGACTGGTTGATTCTGTATAGGCTATTCTGCATTTTATTGTTTCCGACAGCATCGCGAGGCTTAATCAGTGCGAAGCGCTCGGACGGTTTCTCAATGTTTCTCACCAATCAGCTTGTGCAGAGCCACTTGCACACACCAGCTTGCAGGGAGCAACTTGCACAGAGCCATCTGCACAGAAGCGCCAAGCAACTTGCACAGGAGTCGTGGTATAGTCTGGGCACGATAGCCCGGACATAAGTAGTGCGGGTTATTTGGGCCTGAATAGCTGGGAAAAGAGCTTGGGTGTGAAGGTTGGGCTAAAGAGCTGGAAAGGCTCGGCAACTGCAGATATGTAAGTTGAGGTTAAGTTTCTATAGCGATAATTCTTGAAACGAGCGTGAGAGAGCTCGGTGTAAAATTCTTCTATTTTGCTGAGGGGAGGGCTGTTATATTCGCTGGGGATTCTGAACCTCTGCGGGGATCCGCGTGGTCGATGCTGAAAAACTGAGGAGTTGTTCCGGTTGTTCGACATCTCTTCGCTGCTTGGCGTGCAAAGACGCTCTAAGGAGATCGGCATGATTGATGTCAGAAAACGGAACGGTTGACGATTGCTGCAGTGCACGGCCCTCTGCGCAGGAACGTAGGGCGCAAGGAACGCAATTCCAACTGCGGACCGGAACTGGCACCTTTAAGTGCGACAAGCTGCAAGCGAAGTAGCAAGCCAAGTGCGCTTTTCCAGTTGCATCTTGAAAATCGCAACTTTTCGGCGCGAAGTCAGCTACGGCTCGATACCTCGTAAAAACTATCTCATTGAGAAAAGAGCACAGCAGGTAATATAAATACTCCCCATCGCAAGAGCCTAGCCTGGCTCTTGCAGAGTTGGTAGAGTCGCCACCCGACCTTTCGTTGTTACCAGCCCTGTTTAAGTCCCCCATCAAGAACTCCAACCGCCAATTACGGGCTTTGCAGGCCAAAACAGGCATCTTGTGTGCAAGCGAAACAGATTGCAGAAAGATTAAACAAACAAAAACCAAGAGATAGAGAGAAGGAAAGAAAAGAGAAAGAGGACGCAACTGGAGATACTCCGAAAGAGAGCAAGAAGAAGAGGAAGTGAAAGAAAAAAAGAATCAGAAAGGGACAGAGAGGGATCTAAACGGCCGGGAAAAAGGAGCAAAACACAATACAACTCAATCAACACTCACATTTTCTGACTGAACCTCACACATTTGCACAAGTCGCCACCGTGAAGTGTACCTGCCCCCCGCAGCCGCACCTTCCAAGGTACTGTGCCAGTGACCGTACCAGCTGCACCAGAATGCGTACCCACCGCACCAGTGAACCGAACCAGTACCGGCGATGGGTCGTGGTACCGGCGATACGCGTACCCCGTGACCCCCAAGATTGCAAATTGTGATAAATCATGCCCCTGCATATGCAGTGTGTTGACCCATGTGTGATTCTGAAGCGGGAGTACCCGTCATTTGTTCCGTCCGTGTGGGTTTGTTTGTGACGCACTAGGCCGGGTGCGCTCATCATTTGTGCCATGCCTGTGAAGTCATTCCGATGCGTTTGAACGTGTTATTTGTGGTTTGCGCGGACTCGTCGTCCCACTTCGCATTTTGTTTAATTGTCTTTTTTTCGTTTGGAATCATTCCTTTCGGTGTCGCACACCCACATACACACACACGTCTCGCTTTCCATGCTCAATCCTTTCCCATTTCAATACTTTCGTCCAAAAGGAGTTGTTATAAACCAATTGTCTGCGGCCCGTGAAACGCCCATGTCCAAAAGAGCTGGACAGACAGTGGAAAAGGTTTAGCCTTGGGTCCAGGATGCGACCGAGATCGAGAAACCAGGGTCCAGGTCTCGCGGGCAAAGCGAGCTGCGGGCGAAAGACAAGGCAAACTGAAGGATAGATCCATATCTTCAGATGCCCAGTGGCCATGGGAAAAGAGGCACCCTATTTTTGCTGGTTGAGTTTGAAGGGGAACCCTTTCCCAGACAAAGGAAACAAGGGCTGGGGAACAGAGTATCGTTTAAGGGGCCCTCCAATGATGGAACCCAAAAACCGCAGCAACATCTTGGTGGTTTAGCCAACGGGCTTGCCTCAAGTCTCAGATCCAAATCTTTGGTCTCGTCAATGATGAAGTCACGGCAAAGTGTGCTCACCTGAGGTCGGTGCATTAAGAAACCCGATGCCAATGCCCAACGGAATTGGCAAATGGAGACATTTGGGTATGGCTCAAAATGAAAGAGGTGGGGTTGCGCAGGTCTTAGTCTTTCTTCCATTTACCAAGGTGCCATTTTGGGTACCGATTTTGGAGCCACAGCCATATTGGTGGCAAATGATGGCACTTATCACCGGAGAGGGACGTCTGGAGACGTCTGGGACCATGTTACACGTCCGAGAAAGGGTTTTTCCAGACTTCTCCAGGAATACCACCTGGGGCCTAAAGCGCCCTAAATGGAAACTCAGATTATGGCCACAGGGCAATTTATGTTCACCTGAGCCATCCTGGGAAAACACGGCGGCAGCTGACCTAAATGAATGGCAGGTGCATCTGAGATCGGAAAATGCTAACCTTTTCAGGGGGAATTGCAGGGTAGCAGGCTAATAAGGGGTCAACTCAGCGGCATCAAATTGCCAGGGCAATGTTCAATCAGTCGAGCTTCCAAGCAAGACCCCGGCCAGTGAGTCTGCATGCTGGATGAAAATGCCCCAGGTAAGGTCTGTGCCAGTTTAGGGCTGACATGGTAGCGCACAAATATTGTCTAATAAATGGCACCACCTCGGCAGTAATGATTGCCCAGCAAATGACATGCTGAATTCATGGCTCATCAAGGCAGTGTTGGGATCGTGAATGCCCCGGTTTACGTCATCAAATATCCCAACACATGGAAAGCTGACAAAGCACACAGCTACTATCTGTCCGGCACGCATGTGTTCAGGCAGAAAACCCAAAACAAAGCTCAAATGCAAAGCGTAGGTGGGCCAACACATCGGGATGCCACGCGCCACATTAAAGCTTCAGCCTACCCTGGTTTCAGTTCGATGGCTTTCGTGCAGCAAGCTCTAAGTGGTTGTTTTTTGGGGACCTAAGGCTCCTGGCTTGTTCTAGCACGTTGGTCCCAAGGTGGTTGAACGAGGCCGAACGAGCTCCAAATGTGGCCCCTTGCCTACAGAGTTGAACTTCATTGCATCTCCTAGGCAATGGAAGAAGCAACAGCCTAAATGCAAGATGCCTAAATGCAAGATGTCCGTCTGCGTCCTGACCGCAAGATGCAAATCGCAATGGGATTCCATCCAGACCACATAATCCAAGGCAGAGTGGAAGCCCAAGTCAAGAGTTCGCTTGCGCCCTTCAAACCGGCACTTCTAGGAGAAGTTGTCAGCCACTCGGAGAGCCTCTCACATCCAAGGTGCAATCATGCCTGCGACGCACTGCAGGAAGGTCAGCCTAAGCTTGGACCCAGCCGCTTCATGAGTTGTTCTGGGATACTGGGTAAACCCACCAAAACTTGAAAAGCCCAAGACAGAAAACTCCATGGCTGAGATCATCCTCTTGGCAAGGTTGCTATAATTCGCCCAGGCTATCAGTTTCTCCAGGCGGACGATCATAGCGATCATAGACGCGAGGTCTTGCAAAGCGGTAACAGCGTTTTGCGCAGCCGCTTGAGAAGTCCAAAGCTATTGTCAAGAGGTTACTCACGCCTGACCATACGCTTGTATTTTGCCAGTGCATGCATAATTTGAATGAACACCTGGAATGGACCTCAAAAACAATTTGATGCTTCAGCTCTTCCCCAATATGCAAGAACAGTTTCGGACGGCGCCCCTAACCGGTCATCATGTTTCTGCCACTCACAGCCCTGACTCAAAGGGTTGCTGAAGTTTCGAGAGCCGGATGAACATCGTGCGGGCTCCCAAATGCAAAGGGAGAGCATCCAACATGTGCGGTGTCCTCTTGGTTTTCCTCGCAAAACAAGCCCACAAGGGATACCCTCAAAACATGATGCGCCCACATCTAAAAGGGGATGATTGCAGAACTAGCGCGAACATGATTGCAAAACATGTATGGCAATACCCACGCTGCCTACGCTTCCAAACGATTTCTCTCCTTCCTTCCTTATCGAACTTGACTGTTTCGAGACTCCTCCAACTTTGCTTCCTCTTTGTTTCCCTTTCGAACCAAAAGGAAAGTTATCTTAATCTTGCTGCCTCTGCAGGTTTGCTCAGGCGAGCCAAGCAGGCTTCACCACGTCTGTCTCGGTCCAAATTGTGACCCCCGCATGTCCGCTCTCTTGAATGTGCTTGTGTCAAACTCATGTTTGCACCCAGTGAGTTTCCTGAGGTTCTTGAGAAGCCGTCCCTCTCTCACTTGTTTTTTGCGACGCCCCCGAGCCAGGTACAGCCCAGCGGCAAGCAAAAGGTCCAAAAGAGCATATCCATGCTCGCAGCCAGGCACTTCAGAAGCAACTGCAAAGACGCCAGCACCTTGCGCGTTTTCGTTTTCCGCCCTCTCTGTGCCTACCCCATGCGTTACCCGAGATCCTGGCAACGAGCGGTCAATGCAAGACAACCTCCAGCAAGCTCCACAACTCTTCCCAAAGAACTCTCTAGCAAATAAGTCCTTGGGATCAGCTTAGCATCCATTGCCTCTTTGGGCGCAGCAGTATGGGATCCTTAAGTCTGAGGAACCTGCCCAAAGAAATTCCCTCAAGTCAGCTGTGGCGAACTGCCCGTGGAGTTTCCCCAATCCAGGCCTCAGGTCCACCTCCCATCTAAGAATCCCATCCCATCCCCCAAGGCGCGTTGGACATGGTGACCATCCGCAGTGCTCTCGCCAGCTTGCCAATGCGTAGCAGGCGAAACCTCGGGCGACTCGGTCACCCATGCTTTCAGGAGATGTCCATCAAAAAGCTCAATGCGCATGAGAACATGGCGTCCCAACCAAGGCCTCAGGACATATCACGTACCTGCAATTGGCGGCGCCATCGTCCGATATGTTGCTGAGGTTTGCCAAAAGGATCTGGACCCTTCTGGAAATATCGGCATGACCAGAGCCAAACGCCACACGTGTCATCTATTTTCAACCGGACCAAGATGGCAAAACCAATTTTGGACATGGGACCAGATTCCAGAAGGTAGGCTGTGGCCCGAAGAGATGCAACTAATAGAACTCCCGCTCAAGGGTGCAGTCCAGGATCTTGCGAAAGGGTGGGGGGGGCTCTCATGTCAAAATCTAAGGCCTTGGAACATCTAAGGATTTTTGAGGTTTTGATTGGCCCCGTGCGGCCACTTAGAAGGCGAGAAGCAGCACAGGGTTCACAAAGTTCACCGGCGTCGTTGCAAAGATAAAGATCTCCGCGAGCGAGGCCACAGTCACCCCCAAATCAACCTCATGTGAAGAGATGGTCGCCCGGCGGGCTAGGAAATGCCGACAGGTGCGGGGGTTCAAATAACATGTTCTGCGACAAAGAGTCAGGTAGCACACGACTTACCTGTCATTCGGCCATGTGTGTAGCTGTGGAGGATGGTTGTCCTTTTGATTGCTGAGTGATTGGAAGTCACTATCCGGGACTGGATCGCATAAGTTTGAGAATCCAATTGCAAGTGGGCGCGAGACTCAACAGAGAGCTTTAAGTAAATCAGGCCACACTTCCCCTCAAGGAAGGAAGCCACAAACACATCAGATCAATCCACGTTCCAACTTGGAGCCATAGTACCCCTGAGAATCACACAGCCGCACATGGGCAATACATATATACATATGTTGAATACAACATGGGTAAACAACATCCCCACCCCGTTAAGGGGGGGAAAGTCTGAAAATGTAGCTTGCAAATTCTGGGGTTTGGCACCTAAAAGTGTAAGATTACATTTTCTTCGGGGGGCGTGCAAATGTAAGATAACATTTTGGACGCTGGTGGACCTATCAGCAAGGTACCTTGCACATAACGAAGTTACAACTTCATGAACTTGCCCCACTTCAAAAGCCTCTGCGCATTCGCCACATCTGCCCCTCCAGCATCATCAGCTTACATTTTGCGACTCCCTCAACTTCTGTTGGGGGGCGGGAAGGGTGAGAAGAAGTAACTTTCGACGTGCCCAGGCGTCAAGCTACATTTTAACCCCCCCCCCTCCCCCCACAAAACCCGGATATAACCCGGATACACACACCTGGAAGGGGGGGGGAGTCCCCCTTACATTTCTTTTTGGGGAGGGGGGGGGGGCAAATGCAAATTACATTTTCAGACGTCCCCGCTCATTTTCGGGCCCTAAGGGGGTGGGGATTAAACAAACAGACAAGATCCCCATCCACAGGGTTGATCGCTTCTTTCAGTCGGCTGGGAAGAACTCCTCACAGTTGAAAAGCTCCAAACGGGACCCTGAAACAATTACATGGACCTGGAATGACCTGAAAGCCCCTATCAGACTCATACCTCTTGATCTCCTTGGGGACCTCAACAATCATTGGACACAAAGCAAGCAACAAGGAAACCGTCAACCGCTCAGGTCTCAATGTTGCACATCTCCAACATCACATGAGGGAAGGAGCATTCAAACATGCAAACCGTCGTATGCAACTTCCAACTTTTATCATACAAATCCTTAAGCATAGACACCGCCACATTGGTTCAGCATAGGCTGGAAAGCAACAATCACACGAGCAGGCTCAATGGCTCAATTGCTGTTCTATGCATCCAATGTAAGAATCGGGCAGAATCGGATATTTTTCGATGCAAACCATCAATCTAGCGGAAGTCGGCCCATAATCCTTGCGTTCTTGGAGGGATGGTTTAGAGGCACTCACTACCCCTGTGTTGTACCGACGGAGTGGTTTGGGCCGGAAATCGACAAACATCCGATCCGACTAATTATCGGACTGGGACCGGCAACTGATCAAAGCGAATGTCGGAACTTGAAAAGAACAAGAGAAAGTGCAAAAGTGCTAACTAGTCCGGGTGTTGTACTAGTTCATCACTGCCAGTGCTACATGGGACGGCCCGAGCCCCCCAATGGCACAGCCTCACAGGCTTGCAGCTGAGGCACATAATTCATACACACCTTGAAAAATTTCCCGCCCAGAACGAGCAAGCGGATTGTGACGTCCAGCGCAAACAGGGCCGAGAAGATGATGTCCCCAGCAGATATGAAGTTCTCCTGAAAAATGATGTTTGCCACCACCATCAAGGTCAAAATGGCAGAGGTTGGGGCACATGTTTGACCGTGTGTAGGTCCACAAGTTTGCATCCCAGGATTCCCGTGGAATTGCTGCTTGCTATCAAAAAGAAACTTGCTTGACATGGCCCAGGGTTTGCCTTGTGGGCTACTTGAATGGTTCGCCCCGAAAAGCGACCCCTTGACTTCTCTGTACAGCGCAAAAGGGAACACCTACACCAGGGTTAAAGTAGATGGCACAATTTCCCTTTATATGGGAATTGCAAAGGGCATGACTAAACCAAACTGGATTAGACTTGTGCCGTCTTTCACACGATGAGCTGGAGGCGTTCTGAATGAAAAAGGCCTGCCAAACCGTGGCAATTGCCTTCCGCACCAGAGCCCTGTGTCAACATGGCAACCTCTTCTCTGCCAAAAAACACACGGCCACGCTGCCCCAATGTTCCACGTTGGTGGGAAGGGCAACATTTTGCCCAAGCAATCTGAGCTGAAGGGGGTGGTCAATCAGTTCAATTCCCTGTTGCGAACCAGCAAAATGAATCAAATTATGTTTAACTCTTTTTGCGCGCATGCGTGCGTAAATGTAACGTGAGTCGGAATGCGTACAAGCCATTGGCGTGTGCCCATTAGGACCTGGGGCTGCAGATTGGATCCCTGCTTCTCGTCTTGTGCGTAGGAAGTGGGCACTTCCTACCTTTTCTAGCCATACATAGTCTCTTGCGTCCGGACATCGGCTGAAACGATCAATGTTTGAAGCCTGTTTGAACGTGTTGAAGGGATCCTTTGAACAAGTGGTAGCTTAGCGAGCAAAGCATTACCTGATACCCGTGATGAATGGGCAACTGGCCAAGTAGAACAAACAACACAAGACCAAAAGTGCAAGGCTAATGTCGCCATTTTCAAGAATGCCCTCGTATGTCAAGGGCCCTTGTGCCAAGCTTCGAAGGCAAGCCAGGAAGCCGGTTCCAGCATGGGTGTCATGTAGAAGCCGATGGTATGTCCTGTGCAATGTTGCTCACTCCCAGGCACCCCACGTTGACTACACCACAAAACATGAAATAAACCATGGGGGATTCACCGAACTAACTGCTATCAGGTTTTTTTCCTTCAAATGCGAGAGAGCGAGCGAGTATTGCCAGCGGTTGGCCGTTGAATCCAAGCCAAGATAGTGATTTTGTAGATCGAAACGGATATGTGAGGTTCATGAGACAAATGCCGGTCACACTGTTCTACTGTACAAAACACGTCGCGTCGAAGATGAGGGTCTACCACTTGGCGGAACCTACTTGCAGGTGGCCTGGCAGAGCCCCCGGTGTGCCAAGCATCATGATTGTTAGTAAGCCTGACGCTACACTGTCATGCAAACCCCTCATAGATGGTTTGGGGTTTTCCCAATAAAGACCTCGATTTGGATGGTCTCGACAGGTGGGCGCAGGAAAGCCAACCATCTTTGGGGGATTGCGGAGGACAAGACCAAGCTTCCGTTCATCTGACCATTGATCTGCAGCTCCATGCCCATCCACAGCACGTTCACCAACAGGAAGCCTGTGATAAGCATCTCCTCAGCGAGTAAACTTCTGGCGTTGGATCTCTTCAGGCTACAACTGCTTTCTCACATTAGGTCCACAAGAGCCTGACAAGCTCAGCAGCCTCGCTAAAGGGCCAAGGCTTCAGTGCGTGGAACTAAGCCTCAGACCAGGTCATATTTCCCGTCCCCTGCAACAGTGCCTGATTGAAACCAAAAAACAGCACGCCCCCTGGACAAAAACATGCAAAGACAAGCAAAACCTAGGCAAAGCTAGGAAAAACGCCGAACGCAAAAACTAAGAAAATATAAGAAACAACATACCCACCGGTAGCCGACCCAACTGGAAATAGTCTCATCTTTGGCCATCTTCTGCAAGACAGCCCCTCATGCCCGTTGCAAGCCGCGCCGAGAAGGTCAACCTTGAGTGGGAAAAGCTGGGAAAGAAAACCTCCATTTGCTTAAGTCCCCTGGAAAAAATATTTCCAGTAGTGATAGATTCCCTTTAAAACCAAAAGGGAAAATATGTTTCTTTCTTAACAAAATGGAAGAGAGCTTCTTTGCTCCAAAGCCAAACCAGGACTTGGCTGCACACAAAACCACAAGAAAACCAGCTCGCACTCTCACAGACTCACAGAAAACCAGGGGACTTCATGCAGCCCCGCTGCAGAACCGCACACAAAGACGACACCCACACAAATTCACACACACACAACCAACTTAATCACGCAAAACCAACACAACAAAACACAGAAATAATAACAACCACAACCACAAACAAAGCACAACAAATCAAGCAAAACAACAACACAACACAACACAACCAGCATACAAACACACGCACAACAAAAACACCGACAACACCACACACACACACACAGCCAGATTCTGGGCAAAGCTTCTTGGGTGCAACAGGTGTGTGACTCTTGCCTTATGCGAAGTTTGCAACACATAAATTCAGACACGCAAAAAAATGGGTTTAACATAGCCAACCACAACAGCACAACAAAAAGCACAAGCACTATTCTTCTTCCGGCAGAAGCTGGCCATGCTCTCAATCTGATTTTTGTGGGATTTGCGTAGCCTTGGACAGCTGTGAACGGACCCAATTCGAAGGGATACCTACACGGTTTCTAAGACAGATCCTAGGGTTCCAAGGGCGTGATCTCCCAATCTATGAAACATGAAGATCTGCACGATGTCAAGCCGACCTCCAGCATATGGCAATCGATTCATACAGCGCATTGCTGTATAAAAGAAAGCCCGATGTCTCCGGCCCGTGGATTTGATTGGAACCACGTACAACATTTCAAGGATTGAAATCATGAGCACCCTGAGTTCCCGCAACATCGGTCAATGACCCGTGCCGAGTGCATGTATGCCTGGCAAACTCTTAGCCAAGGACCTGCCTCATGGCAGCTTTGGCGACCGATCTGGCACCAGCAAAGATTCCAGTTTCTCTTGAGACAGCGAGCTTTAAGCAGCTACTGCAGGCTCCCCGCATAAACCTTCAAGCCTCTGCCACGAGCATGCTGGGAAGCGCTTTCGGCTTTGACACCGTACACTCTCTGGTTCTCCGCAGCTTTCTACCTGTGGGCTCTTCGAAGCGCCGAAGCGCACGGAAGGGCGAGCCTTTGGGGGATAAACTTGGCCAAGTCTCGAAGGTGTTGGAAGTGAGGAAGGCCTGCAACCTTTCGAATCTCGTCAGCTTCGCGTAGTTTACGCGCCGATTTGACAGATCTGAGTCTGCATGCACCATATCCCTTGGCAGGCAAAGCGCTGGCAGCCACGGCAGCCGCAGCAGTAGCAGCAGCACAAGCAAGCGCCAAACATCACAACACAACATACAGCAACCAACAACCAACAAGCACGAAATCCAGGATGCGCACAGCACCTGTTCAACTATTGATGCTCATTTTTGTACTCGATGAGGACTGACCGACTCAATACCCATCATTAAGAGGAAACCTTCAGAATAAGCGTCCTACAGCGCCTCCAGAATGAGAATGTCCGCAAGCAGATGAGAGAAACCACATGCATAACTTAAAACAAATCTTTAATGTTGCGCGCTTTGGAAAATAAACAGATGACGAAACGTTCTAGACATGGGATACCTGGAAACCCAAATGCGTTTTTTGCTGTCCATACGGCTTGGGCCACAAAAAATGACCATACGGTCATTTACGGCTTTTTGTCAACAATTTGTTGAAACAATACGGGTTGCATACTGCCAAATACGGCCACCGGCCAGCAAAAAATGACCATACGAGAAAACGATCCAAATACGGGTTCCGTCCGAAAAAAAAATGGCCATACGGCCTTCCAGGTAGTTACAGGGCAAGGTTAGGATGCTTGTCCAATTCTCCTGCGTTGGGGTCGTGTCAGGCACAAGTTACAAGTATTGATACCTTTCGTTCACCTAGCAAAACGAACTCCAGCCCAAGCCATCCAACCCCAGACCTTGCCGATTTTTTTCCGATGGCTATGACTTGCAGAAGCTGGACATAAACAAAGCAGTGCAGAAAGCTGCCAAATAACCAAGCACGTTCAATCCAGACCAAATCTGAACGAAACCTAAACCTGCCCATTGTCGAACATGCCCTTTAGCTAGCCCAATGGTTGCCAGTCTCATTCAGCACAACGTCAGCTCCAAAAGAATCAGCCCCAGCTTGACAATCCAGAAATACATCTCAAAGACGGCTTGCAGAAACAAGAACGGCATATGCATATCCAAAAGCTTCCGCGTCCCCAAACAGCCATAGATGAGTGTGCTTGATAGGGCCGTCCAGATCTGAAGATATGACAATGGGACAAGCTGCATTGACTCGTCCGCTTCGAAGATGTCTGGCATCATCCCACTTTGTGCCTCGGATCTTGCTTCCGAAGCCTCGGACTTGTCGAACATGTTGATGATCTCCTCGGCGGGCCAGCCAAAACCTCTAAAGATGGTTTTTGCTACCCTGGCGGGTAGAAGGCTTCTAAAACAAAGGCTGTTACATGAACACCCTTTGTTTGACGGCGGAACCTTTACATTTTCAGCAACAAACCTTTACCACGCTAAGCTAGACCTGCAAAGGCCTTGGCGCGAAAGCAACTCATTTCTGCATCATGAATGGAATAACCAGGGCCTACCTGAAACATCCATTCAGCAGGGCGGTTGAAACCCATCAGCAAGCCAAGACGAATGTGAGTGGTTTTTCGCCTGCCATATTTCACGGCGTTTCCCTGCGAAAAGACGTTCACGCCCACGGTATGCTCACGTTTTTCCATTGTCGCTTCCCAATTGCTAGGCCCATGCTCAATGTTTCCAGAAACCCAGAAAGCCGAACACCTTGAGCATTGAACAGTTCAACATTTCTGGCATGGTTTTCTCGAGGCTTTGGAAAGCGTACGTTTCAGCCAAAGCCTTGTCTACTTCTACGTCGATCAACCCAACTCAAAACGTCCAGCTTGCGAACAAAGAACATTAAGCAACACTTCACGG